GAGTATCCAGAAAAGCTTTTTATGCTTCAAAGTCAATATAGTGTGCCATGTACGGAGTAGAGTTTTAAAACGTTAAGTACGGCGCACACAGACGTGGCCGGGCCGGGCCGGGCCTCCAGCTCGGTGACATACTTGTGCCTCCCACCACCCACCACCATCCCGCCATGCCCACTCAACCAGGCAGTTAGTTGCTTCAAGCACAAGCGCCATTCAGGCGGAAATGCAGCTCCCAAACAGCAACAGAGCGACGAGCGTTGAACGCTGAACGGTGAGCGTTGAGCGCTGAGCGGGGCCGAAGGCGAAAACCTCTACGTGAAGTGTGCCATCAGTTTAAGGTTTTTGTGGCCAGCAGCAGCAGCAACAGCAGGAGTAGCAAAGCACACATCCAGGCAGCCGCCCTCTACCTCTACTCTATTTTCATAATAAACAAATGGGTTGTATGGTTGGTTGGGCTTAACTTTTGGGCTGCCAGCAAGTCGCAGTCGCAGTCGCAGATAGTGGAAAGCCCGTAGATGGCGACAAGTCCCGAGCACAAATCAGTGCTATTTATATTGTGGCCAGGTTGAGTTGGGGCTGCAATGTGCGTGGCGAAGCTGCAGCTTGTCAGCACGCTTACCAACTGCTGCTGCTGCTTGGGTTACATCCAATTTGCAAAAATAACCGCAGGAGTCGCATCCTGCCACACAAAAGTTCAGCTGCAACATGCTCTTATCTTTGACATGCAGCACACGGTGGCAGCAAATCGAGAACGCAACTTGCACTCCAAGTTGCCTGTCAATGCAACAAGTTAAGTTCGAACGTGAAGCCAGAGTTTGCGGGGGTGGAAGAACAACTGGCAGAACTGGGAGAACTGACAAAAACTTTGTTGTGCCTATCACAGGCAAACCGCAGAAGTCAGCGCATCTTCTGCAAAGTTACGCTATCTATGCCATCAAGTGTCTCCGCGGGGGCAGCAACAGCTGTGACCGCGGGGCATGTCACACACCAAATAGAGTAAAGAGTGGAGGGCGGAGTGGGAAGTGCGTCAAGTTTGTTCGTGGCACAATAAATATATAATAGACAAATGCTTGCCGGGGCGTGTCTAGTTGAGGGGGGGAGGTGTTGGAGTAGGTGTAGCTGTAGGTGTGTCCCTTTGCTATATCGTTTACGTTAACGTTTGCGCCCCCTGACTTGTGCTTTAATAAAATATTATCATATACGCAACGGAAGATAGTTTTTCATATGTTTATTCACAAATATGTGCGCACGAGTCGGAATGTCGGCGCCAGCTACTTGCAACATGCCAAACTTCTCCGCTGGCTCCTGTTTACTTCTGGGGCCAACTCTTTATTTTTGCTCGAACAGCCCACCTCTCCGCCCCGCCCCCTGCCCACTCAATTCTTATGTTGTCTCAGTAGTGCACATACATATTTTGATACTCTCATTATTTATTACCAGCTGCGGGAGTAGCCGAGCGAATGCGACTACATTCATAAATATATGACTAGCGAATGCCGCTGCAAATCTAATGGAATGTGTTTTCTTGAGTTTTTTATTACCCAGCCGAGAGTGTGGATTGTGTGCCAGTTAAGAGAGCCGGAGAATGGAAAAGATTGCGTAACATACTAATGTACATAGTTACGATTGTCTGCGTAAAGCTGGGATACTTTGTTACAATTCCACTGCGAAGCATGCTCTTTATCTCGATGACATTATATTTTATTTGTCCCAGTTCCTGCGTTAACTTCAATTTGTGCTCAAAAACCATTTCGCTAGTTGAACACTGCAAATCGATATGAAATGGAATCTTTGCAGTGCTTACCTAAGCACAGACCTAACATTTATCGAACTTTAGCTAAAAATAAAGTGGCATACAAAAAAGGAAAATTCCTTTGAAGGAGTATGCTGGACAAGCTGATACTCTGCACAATGCAGAAAATATGTTATTAAATAATTATGAAAATAATATAGTTTCTAGCTGCAGATTTTATCTGGCATGATTATAATGTAACTCATTTCTGACATTCTAAACAACGTATTTATTTTAATGAAAATTGTGTTGTCGGACTTGCAGCTATTTCCGCTTGCAGTTCTGCATGGCTTATGGTCATGTTCAGATATGGAATGCTTACAGTATGTTAAGTCAAGCAATTGCGTGACAGTGTCCACTTTGCACAACACGCACCTCTTGACTTATCATGATAAGATATAGCCCCAGCAAATGCCCCAGAAGCAGGGCATCCAATAGTCGAGCAAACTTAGCGTACGTTCGTGTAAATTATGAACTTGTGCGATAGCAATTAGATTCAATAACCAGCAATTGCTCGGGTGTATTTTTGTTGCTCTGCAGCACCTGCATGGGGTCACAGCTAATAGCGGTCAATATAAGTGTCCTGCTAGTTGTAGGTGTTGAAGAGTCCAGTCTAATTCGACGCATTTACAATAATTGACATCGCTTTTGGTTAATTGGGCACTAATGAATGCGAATTCGCCTTGTTGTTGTTGTTATTGTTGCTGCTTGTTGTAGCAAAAGTGGTTATAATTGTTGTTGTTGTTGCTTTTGTTGTTGTTGCAAAACCACACACAGTTAAACCGCAGGCCACATACGTATAGGCACAAACACACGCACGCACGCACACACACACACGCACACACACTTCCACTGTGAACCACTCAGTCAATACAGCTAGTTGCGGCAGCCAAATAACCACCTCAATATAATACAATAACAAATTGCCTGTCAATCTACGTGTAACTTTTATAAATTTCCAGTAGGGGGCGCTGCACGCTACTAGACCCTGCAAAGCGTAGTAGAAGCAGGGCTGTTTGCCGTTTGCCATTTGCCGTGCAGACGCCTCGCGGCGCGTTCGCCTCGAGTTTCAGCCATAATTAACAGCGGCTGTGGCAACTGTGCGAAAAACTAGGGGGCAACAATAACAACAACAACAACAACAATAAGAACAACAAGAACAAGAACAACAGCTGCAACGCGCTGAGGCTTTGTAATGTTAGCTGCTGCTAATGAACTCACTGCCGACGCCCCGTTAGCGTGCCAAAGGGCGGTGTCAAGGGTGAGGGAGGGGGGGCGCGCGACTGGCAGCATGCAGAAATGACTTTATTAGTTCAACGTTCAGCCGCGCCGTGTCGCTGCCAGTACTCGGGCTTTTATTTAGATTTTTATTGCTAAACTTTGTTACCTTCTCTTTTTTTTTGCCACTTTGCCAAACACATTCGTCCACACAAATGAAACTGGTTTGTGTGGGAGAGGGGGGGCCAGGTGCTGGGCAATGGGAACGTCTATCGAAGTCAGCTCGTTAACGGCTGTCGTTTGCCTTCGACTTCAACGTCCTTCTCATGCGACACTTTGAATGTTTTAAATGAATGTTTTTTTCTGCCCTTCGCCGAGCCTGTCCCTTGCTGTTGTTGTTGTTGTCGTTCCTGTTGTGGTTTGTAGCTGCATTAAATTAGTTTAATCACTATGCAGACTACGCGGTCTGTCGCCCGTCGCGGCCCAGAGTCCCGGGTAAAAGCCAGCCAAGCCCATAAGTAAGCGTAAACAATGTCAAAGCAGTGCACACTGTAGTAGCCGTAGCCGTAGCCGTAGTAGTTTACTGTAACTAGCCAAATGACCCGCTTCCAGTCGGGTGTCAATAGACACATTAACTGGGCGTGCTGCTGGCAAAATTAGCACAACAATTATGCAGGTATTAGCAGACGAGGCGACGGCGTTGACTGTGTTCTTTGTTACCTGCCAAGAGGTGTAAACAATGGGAGGCGTCCATACCAAATGGGGGTCCATACTATGCTATGCTACCTAACTATATGCAGGCAAATAATAAATATGTATGAAACCCATTTTCTTATCCAGACAATCTAACATACAATTCGTATGCTCTGAGCCTAGGCTTTGTATTCAACCTAATTGCCAGCCACATTTTGCTAAAATATTAAATTTGGGCCTCTTCAAGTAAACTGAATAAAAAGTTTATTTCGTATTTGACATAATTATTTTTGCAATTTCACCGCACGCGCTTCAAAATGTTGTTGAAGTATCAAATTTTGAATATGGTTTGGCGAGAGCTTTTAAATTGGCTCACACACACAAAATACAGCCACCTATGTGAGGCCATTAAAATACCACTTGAGTGGGCTTTTGTGTGTAACAGCGATCCACCTGTTAATCCACGCACACACACACGCACACGCACCAACACAGATACTAATCAGAACCCGCAAAACAGTTGAAAGGTCATATTACCTATACGCAGGGTGTGCAAAACTTAAACCGAACACATTTACGAGTTGTAATACCCTGTAGCCACAGAGAAAATGGGTAACTTGAGCTTGTAAAATGCTCGCATTTCGTTAGTGAACTTTTTTAAAAATAAGTATCACCTTTTCGGCTGGAAGTCCTCAATAAATGTTTGCTGAAATGTTTACTGAAAACAATATTTAGTTAAGGACTTCGCACACTGCAGTGGAATTTTGTGTTATACTCTTTTCAAGCTATCTTATTTCTTATATGTTCATATATATTCGTGTCTGATCACACAAATCGGAATATATTTACACACCCCACAATTTTAAAGAGAAATATAGAAAATACAAAACCAGTTAGAGAAAGTCAGACTGACTCCATTGCTGACCTCTGTTATAGCATTGACCATAGAGTATGTGGCAGTCGGTGATTGCATTTTGATGTATTCTTGTTTTAAGTTGACAACACTCAACCCTTGTCAGTTTTGTCAACTTATCTTGTGCCACGGGGCAGAGAAGAACAAGCGCTTCCAATGTTTTCTGATAATTACAATGGTTTCCTTTTTAATTTATACGTTTCACAAACACACACAAGCACACACACTGACATGACATTAACTCACCTGGTCAAGCTAAGCCGCATGCCTTTAGCTCAAACACACACACACACCCAGATACACATGCTCCTACATATGACACATGAGGACAGCAACAAAATGGTTGGCTGTCATGAAACATTTGTCACAATAAAGTTTATTTGCTTTCGTGTAGTGTAGAAATATATTCTAGTTTTCTTTTTTTTCATATGTTTTTTATTTGCTCAGCGGTCTCGCAGCGTAGTTAAAAGCAAGTCTAAACATTTTGTGGCCTCTTGTTGGTTAGATGTGTGCGTGTTGGGGTCGCATAAGCCCACGCGGCCCCTCGCGCTCCCCTCCGACCGACCTTCACACTGGAGACATTTGTTTGCATTTCAAGCAGCAGCAGGAAATTAAGCATTTAGCATTACAAATTACACATTACACGTATTACGTATTACAAATTACACGGTTTAGCAGCTGGGACTTTGACTACGACCAAAACTAGAAATGAAAACTGAAACTAAAGCTCATAAATTGGTTGCAATCGCACGCTAGATTGTTGTTGTCCAGGAGACTCGTAATTATAATTAATTGGTAAGTTCTTGACGCTCATGAGCTTGATATGGCATTTGATATGTAGTTTAGGATGTTCCCTAAACTTGTTGCTTTTCGTTTAGTTACCTGTATCCTGGCTGCCACACGCTCGCCGTTGAAACGATTGGGGTTGAACCAACCCTTCGTCGAGCCCGTCACAAGCACAATGCCGAGCAGGAAGAAGAGTATTAACGCGGTTATAACGAGTTTCGCGCGCGTCGAAATGACCATTGCCATGTTTCAATTTTGATATTTACACACGGTGACACTTTAACACTTAGCACTAGAAACCAACTCGGATAACACTCACGATTGCCTGGAAAACAAAAAAGATGCATGAGTTGGCATATTAATTGGATGTGGTTAAGCATGTTGTTGCTGCTGGTTGGCCACACACTACAAATGGTTTGAATGTTGTGCTCTTGGCTTGAATGTATTTGACCCTTGGGCTGCTGCTGCTGCTGCCTCCGCCGAGCGCTGCCTAATGGCTTTTGTGGCACGTATTAACCTTGCCAAGCGCTTTTGTGGCACACGCGCCCATATCAGCCTCTTCTCAGGCGCTCGCACTGCCACTTTCTCTGAACGCTACAAATGTAACACGTTTTATTTAATTTCTCTTCCCTTCCCCCCCCCCCCCCTCCCACCACTCACCTATTGCCTGTGGCTTGCTCGCTTGTCAGCATTTTCTCACCGATTTGCGCCGCAAAAGAGGCGGCTAAAAAATAAAAGCCAGCAAAATCAAAGAAAAAAAAAAGAAAGGAATAAAAATAAAAAGAAACAGGCTATGAAAAGAAACTTTATGAAAAGTTAAGCTGCCAACAAGTTTATTTGCGAAAATATTGAATTATAGCCACGTCATGGCGAAACGAAATATGTGAGTCTCAAGCTACAAAATGCGTTGCCTAGATTTGGCCACATGCTAAAGATGTCTCGGCTTTTATTTGGAGCGCATAAAGGCATAAGCCGAATGCCTGCGGTGGGCGTTAGGGGCTGCTGGCGTGTCCTTGAGCGCCCAAAAAAATGAAATAAAAAACGAGCGCCAACTTTTCAACCTACATAATTGCGGTAAAAGTTGGAGCACAACACACACAAAAGTATCCTTTAACACACACACAAACACACACACAGACACACACGGGCGCGAGCAGTTAAGCGGCAGGCTCGGCGCGCACAAAAGTATGCTACAGTCAGCGCATAATTACGATAATCGTGTCTGTCTACCAGCAGCAGCGCAGTCCAAACGAACAGACGCGCTCGACTGACACCATAGCCACGCCCACACGCCCGTACACCTGCACACACACACACAAACACACACACGTATACCTCGCTCTGAAATGGCAGGCAGTTATTGAGTCAACGGTTGAGTCAGTGGTGTAAAACAAACTTTTTTGTGTGTGCCCAGAAAGAAAGCCAAAAAGAAACTTTTTTATGCGCCCAAGAGTCGGGACTCGAGAGTGGAGCTGCCTTTGCCATTGCCTAGCCCGTGCCCTTTCCCATTCCCTTTGCCTTTGCCCTTGCCTCTGCCCTAGCCTTAGTGGCACTCTTCACGGAGCATTAAAATTCTACGGCTGCAGCCAAAACGCTGGCACAGGAGCAGGCGCAGCAGTTTAAGCTTAAAGTTTGACACGGCTCAAGTTTCCTAATGAAATTACCTACTTGGACTTTTTCGACTGCGTTTTTGGTCGCGTAATGAAAAGGGGCACAACTTGTGCCACACAAAAACAGGAAAAACAATGAGAAGAAAAGGGCTGCCCGCGGGGCGACTGTCGCGTTTTTGGGGGGCGATAAGAATATTTCATATCTACTTGCAAATTAAGTAAATGCGCCAAAATGAGTAATGACTTTTGAAGTTGTCATGGTAGCCAAAATGTAAGCCATTGCATAATGTAACCAAAAAATAATAATACTGCACAAAAGGATCTAAGCTGCAGGACCTTTTCGTTTCGGTCTGTTGCCCAAGCCGTTAGCGCCTAATGAGGATAATGGGGTGACATGTTTAAAAAAGCGAACCTTGCTCACACACACACACACAAACATGTGTGTGTATTTTGTGTCTACTCATTGCCATGCGGTTTTTCTTCTACATTTTGACATGTTATTTTTAATAAACAGCGTTTGACACACACACACACACACAAAGACGAACTTCCGCTTTAGATAATTTCATTTGGCATGTCTTTGTCTGATTCAAAGCTCAAGTAACAATGTCTAACTGATGTTCCAGCTGTGTCACACATGCATCCTTAATAAGAAGCAAGCACAATAAAATGTCACCAGAAGGAATGTCTAAGGCGCCCGCCCCCGCCCTTACCAGAGTTTACTCTGACTTGGGCAAGTTTGATCGATAGCAGCTCCTCTGCCTCCTGTTTGACAATTGCCCCAAATCCCATTCCACACATGACTAAATGTGTCACGGTGTGAGTGAGTGCGTGTGTGCATATTCATTTGTGCGTATATAAGGGCGCTCCAACGGGCACATAAAGAGCTGGTTAAATTAATAAGAAGCCAACTAGTCGGACGCAGTCCCTGGCTACATAACAAGTGGGCGCACTGGGCGTTAACCGCTTCACTAGTCGTATAATTAAAGTCCAACGTTTGCATAATTTATCTTTATTGGTGCCGGGTTTTTGGGTTCGGGCGCTTATTTCCTTGCTTAAAGGCCCCAATCGGGCAGCCATATAATCATATAAAATAGTTTTTTGATTGGCTTTACTTTCTCATGGAAGCGTTTTTTAGTTGGCCAGCCATTTGCTCTCAGTCCACAAATCACAGAGCTGACCATAAAATCAGCATTGTATTTAAATTTAACGAGCTGCATCTTTATTAGCAATAAAAGATACATTATTGCTTATAAAAAGTCTGTGCATGTATCTTTATCATGACCGAAATAAGGCAATGGGAGCAGAAATATACTTTGAAAAGGCAAGCATGAATAGAAAATATAATGCTACAATTTTGATGAGTAATCTGTCTAAAAAAGAGCAAAGTAAAATATTTTTAAAAAGAGAGAGAGACAACCCGGGCAGAGCTCCATTCAGACGATTTATGAAATGTCCCTTTTATAGCTAACGTGAAGTTATGAGAATCGCGAAGAAAGGCGCTACTAAAAAATGCATAAAACCGTACTCTTGAAATTTTACTTGCTTTTCGCTAGGAATTTAATTAAATTCCTAATTTCTAATCACAATTGAAATGCTGCATTACAAATTCCGTAGACAAGTTAATGTATGTCAGCGGATTTGCATATATATAATTGAAATCTGGGCGATGCTTGTGTTCACGTTATATTTGTAGACAATGGTTTAGTTGAAAACTAGTTTCACAACACAATCGCGGTAAACAGAAAACAACTTATTATTGTAGGAGGCAATTTGGCTGAATATGTAAATAAACATTTTAAATTGAATTTTAAATTGTGTCAACATAATGGGTCAAAATATTGTATTATGATGCCAAATTGATAAATTTGCAAATCAAAATTACATATTACTGAAAATAAAGCCCACACTGAGGGGCTGGCATGTAAGCCAACGGTGTTAACAACAACATCAGCAGCGGCAGCAGCATAATACACAATCAAATTGTGATATATTTAAATGTACATCATACACACACACACACACACACACACAGGCACACGCACACACGCAGAGAAGGGCACGCAATGTTCAGCAATGAAAATTTATGACTACACAAATATATATATAAGTATGTATTCATGCTTGTTGCCAGTCTTTAACACGAGTCGAACTAAGCCCCGCACAGCAAACCAATATATAAACTATTTAAAGTTCTGGGTTTTTGATACTCCTGCTATTGTTGTTGTTGTTGTTGTTGCATGTCATATGCGTAATACCATTTAATTAAATGCACGCACTGACTGCACAGCTAAAGCTGAAAATTTCCAAATATCAAATTTCAGCTAGCCCATATTTTCGGGTCGGGGGAGGGGAATTGTTACGAGGCTGACATGCGTGAAGCCGCAATTGAAATGCTGAGCCTGTGACAGCCGCAAAAGTAGTTTTGTGACTCGAGGAATTAGTGGAGTCATGTTTTAAATATTTAACATCTGGCCCTATATGGACAATGCTTATTTTGGGATGTCATCAATAGCTTGGCTTATACTTTGTCCCTCTGTTAACCTTATATCTGTTGCCAGAGGTCAGAGTAAGTGAACGTGTATCTTTTGTTATAATGCAGACGCTTAAAAGGCCTTTTATTTAATAAATAAAACGTATATTCGTTTGCCTGGCGGCCAGAACGCTAAAGACAAAGGCGGCCGACCGAGCGCACAATAGTCGACGTATACACAATATTACGCACACAGACGCACACACACACAGCACTGCTTTAATATGCATATGTGTGCCAGTGTGTGCCTGTGTGTGTGTGTGTTGGTTATTCATGCTTGTTGTTGCTACTGCATTGCGCTGCCTTAATGAGTTTGCCTTTGATTTGGGCCAACGCGAATAAGGCGCAACCAGCCCGGGAAGCCGCTGCCTCCGCTCCCTCCCCCGCCCCCACCTGCTCCTAGTTCACCTACTCCGCCCAACTTGTCATAATTTATGCGCAGCCAATGCTCAATTTGATAGGCAACAGCCTGCGACATTCAAACCATTTGTGTGGCCCATTGTACTCCTAATGCCAGCAGAGTACGAACCATATAGCATATATATATATATGTATATATATATATATATACCTATATATATTATTAAAATTGATGCATGTATTTACCTTCGAGTTGAGCGCGTTAAAAGTCAGTTGGATTAAGCTATAGCTTTAACTACACGATATGCACGCGGTAACGTATATGTATATGTATTTGCATTTGCATATGTATGTGTTGATAATATTGAATATGTTGACAAAATCACAGATAATTAAATTACATATAGTTATTTATTTATTTTTTGCTTTACACTTTCCGATTATGTTATTTCGTTCAAGTTATGCACTTATTGGGAACTCATTTGTAATTACAAATGACAGCGTACTTTATTTGTTTAAACAAAAAAATGAAATAGTTGTGGCAATGTGCGTTTGTTAGCTGGACTGCCAGCCGTTGGCTCCCGCTGAGCGCAATTAATTTTCTCGCTGCCACACCACATGCATTTTTGCGTTGTGCAATTGATTGATTTCCATTTGAACAAATTCACTGAGAGCCAGCTGCTGGCGCAGGGGCAGCGGCAGATTGACGCGCGCGGCACTGACAGTGCGCGAAAAGTGGCGAAAAGTTGTGAGTTTTAAATTTTTCATCTTCAACTTGAACCGGTGCCGCTTTTGGTCCACACGAAACTTTTACAACCGGCGACGACGACGACTTTGGCGACGGAGCTGTTCAAATTTTACACGCTCGACACGGCGATGGACACGGCAAGTAGCACAACAAAAAGAAGAAGAAGAACACAACACAAAAATGTACAACAACAATAACGGGAACTGCAACAGGAATAAAAAAAAAGGCGCGCTGCCAGCCAAACTAATTGTAAATATTTGCTCAGCGGGCAAACAAATTTGTGTTGGTCTCTGTTGGTTTTTTACGCCACACTTTATTTACCAAACCGGCGCGGTGCGGCTCGGCACGAGGGTCTGGGGGTTGTGGATATGTTGGTAATTTACTGGCTATAGGTAATACTCGAGCATTACGTTTATTAATTTTGCAGAAAATCTGGCCAGGCGTTTAGTCAACAGCACGCGATATATGCAAGGGGCACGCGCAACAATCAGCGACACGAATGCGGCCAGGAATTTTGTTTGATATGTGACGTGTTCAGGTTGATATGGTCTCGAAGACTGTTCCAGTCAGAGGGGCACAGGTGCACTGGCATTGGCAGCTAGGTGAGTGGTCGCAATTTCAAACGTTTGCGCCATCTTTGCTTCATCTTTGAACGCATAATTGAATTTTAATTGACTCGATTCCGTTGGGGCTTCGATGCTTTTTGGCTGAGTTGGGGTCCGGGTTCACGTTACACGTTCAACGTTTCGGTTCACTTGGACATTATGCAAACATATTTCATTTAGGCATAAATCACTTTCGTTTTTTGCGGCTAAACTCGCACAATGGCTTCATTTACGCCTGGCTCACACATAGCCGCATACGCTTCACGATGCCGACCAACGTCGGCGACGACAGCGCCGAGGATGAGGACGTGGTCGAGAACAAGACCGAGCTGCGACAGGAGGCGACGAGTCAGAGCGCGACTTCAGCGTGTGCTGTGGCAGTGTGGCAAAAACGTAACGCTGCCTCGTCTCTGCCGTACGCACATGTTAACTGTTTGCGGCACCGAACGCGACTGAAAGGTAAACGCACTCGTCTCGGTCAGGCGCAACGTAAGCCAAATCACAGCAACATGCCGCGCACAGGGACACACAAACACACAGGATACACTGGCTCCAGCTGAGCTCGTGCCTCAGACAACAAAATTTCACTCGTGCCCGCCAAGACTTCGTCCTCACAGGCGCTGAATATAAACCCAGAGAGCGCGTGAGCCTTGAGTGAAACTCCGTCACGCTCGGCGTATACTTAATATGAGTGTGAGTACCTTATGGCTGAGCCAAACTGTGCGCACTGAGTGAAGCCAACTGAGTGCCGCACCTGAGTTGTCTGCCAATTTGGCCGCTACGTGGCAAACTGGCGCCCTATAAGGGTGCAGTGGTGGAATTGTTGCCCTCAGGTGTGTTGAAAAGCTCTAGAGCTAACTATTTCAACACAGCCGTTGGTGGTTGAATGTTTGAATGGGTTGAAGCAGCCACTTGCGAGTACTCAATGTACTTTTACGAGTACATTGAGTTCATTGCACAAGATTTCGAGTACATATTGAAATGCGTAAGGCATGTGGTCTTGTTGTCTTTGATGTGCCGCTCTGTAAATTCCCAAAATGCCCGAGTTGCCCAAATTACCCAATCGATTGCGACCCCTTATCCATTAAATAGACATGTGTGCTGCCAGTTGGCGTCTGCTGTTACAATAATTATTATACGCGAAAGCAAATTGGCCGCCGCCAGAACTTACCTCGAAGTGGCCACCAATTATGGAGCCAGCCTGGCCAATGTACAGCACCGATGCCGATGCGAATACCAGCTCAAAGGGATCTCGCACCACAGTCGTGGTGTTGCGCAGTATGCAGTCATAATAGAAAACCACTTTGTCGCTGTACACCTGAAATGCAATCGAGTTCCACTTGTCCGGCACGTGGGCAACCGCAAAACTGGCCAACTTGCGGCCCGCGCTCTGGTCGGGTTGCGCATACACGAGCGTCACATTGTAGCTGTTCTTGACAACCGGCGATAGATGCACGCCCAGCTGAACCACAGTGTCCAGTGGATTCACAACGCTAAACAGATAGCCGCCCTTCAGCGAGGTCTGGCGATAGGTGATTAGTATGGCAAACTCGTATAGCTTCTCGGGCAGCAACATTTGATAGGGAGACTTGACATCTGCCGTGGAGAGTAACTTGAAGGCCGGAAAGCCATCCTCTCCCTCCGCAAACTCAATGCCCGTATACTGATTGCTGTTCATTATATCCGTTAGCATATATTCACCGAGTGCATCTGTGGATGGAGAAAAAAGAAATTGTTAACAGGTAAATTGGGATATAAATAACAATTTTTTGATAAGCGAATAAAATTATGATGCCAATTCAAAGCACAAATAAAATTGAGTACATTTTGGCCATTCATGAATATCTGAGTATGAATGTTTGATGCCCGCCTTAGGGTATGCAGTGAATAAGTCCGTTTGATTATATTATTCAAGGCCTCTCAAAAGCGTGCCATGAATTTTTCAAAACAATTTGTTTTAAATTAATAATAATATTATTATTATTAAAATACTACTTATATACTTATATAGGTCAATAAAAGAAGCACCTTGCCGCTTAGATGCAAAAGAGGTGTATACGTGCACTGTATTTTGCCAATATGGCTTTATGGAGTGCAGATTTGGGGGATTGCAGCCAAATCCAATTATAAACGTATACAGGTATTGCAGAATCGGGTACTACGTCAGATAACGAACTGTCCCTGGTACGTACGCGGTTCCACGCTCCATAAAGACCTCAAACTGCATACAGATTGGAATGCACACAAGCAGATACAGCGAAAGATTGCTGAGACACCGCTCCCTGCTCGCAAGAGGACTACTCCCTGCCCGACCTTTAAGGCGACTTAAACGGCAAGGTTTTGCCAACACGATTGGACGACAGTAAGACTACCTGCATCTAAAATCTTCATACAGCGGTATGGGGTTCGGTTTTTAATTACATTTGCCATCCATGTGTTGTTAAGGTACTAAATTATGAATGTACAGGTTCTACACTTAATAGAAATAAAAAAAAAAATAAAAAAAAAATTATTCATGTCAAAATATCAATGACCTGTTTAATTTAGTTAGAATAAGCAAACATTGAACATTGTTTCGCTGGCTAATATTTAAGTCTCCTTAAAGTTTGACAAGAATTTTAAGGAAAATACCAACTGCTAAGTAAAAGCCAAACTAAAAAAAAACTTATAATTAAAGAGGGTTAATATTCACCTTTAATGGTCTGGCCACTTAGTTCGAAAGAGCCCAAAACCGGAGCCAGAAATGGCAGCACCAGCCAAACGATGTACAGAAGCAAACGCATTTTTAACAGGCAGAATGCTGCGAAAAGAAAATAAAATATTTAATATAATACAAATATTATTGAGAAAATAAGAAACTTTAAAATTAAAAATATTTTAAAATACTTATGTAGACATAATATATAAATATATTATAGCTTTTTTAGAACAGGTTATTATGACTGTATTACTGGTTAATTTACAGGGTATTAGGCCAACTTGTCTACCATTGCAAAGGTCACTTTGGTATTGCATGCACCTGCACCTTTGCGGCAAGTTTAGGCAACCGCAGACACTTTATCCACCAGCCGCAATCATTGGTAATACGAGACCGTTAACTATGCGCAGAAAACCCCCTGGAGCGGCCACGTGCTTATTTGCAGGTCTGCAGACTTGTATGCAATTAGGAATTGTGGGTGGACGGTGCCTCAGTGTCAAACACACCTGCGCCATTGCGTTGCCCCACATGCCGCTTGCAACCGCAGGCATCAAGCTCGAAGCCAGACAATTTTGTGGTCGTTTACAAGCAAACAACTTCATGCGTTGCACTGTTGCACATGGGGCAACTTGTATATGTCAGACAATGGCTCAAGCTCAGGCCTATGGCTTGTCGAGATTAATGACAATTAGATGTTGTGCTGATCGCCGAATTGTTAGATGTTATTTATACTTTAAGCTAAGATAAGCGAACGAGTTGCTCAGACACACCCAGCTGGCAGGGAGTTCATGAAAACGAAAGAAAATGTCAGAGGGCTCAAGCAACAAATTGCCCATAAATAGAATTTGTCAACTGAGCGGCAAAATAAAATTGTAGTTGCCCACTTAATAAATCATTATATTGGGCTGGGCTCATTTGGTAATTACACATTCCCAGCAGCTGATATTCAAATTCCAATTGTCAACGCACTTATTTAGCTCGAACCCGGTTCCAAGCCCTTCACTTGGGCATAATCTAATACAATTAATGGGCGCCATATCACACACACACACGCACACTTGAAAACTATGTGAGTGCATAGAGACATAAGTATTTAGCTGACCTCAAATTGTCTCTCTGGACAGAAGCAAACAATTAATATTTATCGAGTTTAGCGTAGCACACGACATGACAAGAACCCAGCTATATAGCGTTCTTTATAAAAGCAATACTCACTCATACGCACGAGTACCCACACTCTACATATGCTAGACAGAGGGGGGCAGGGGGTACCACTACGTTTGCCTATGCAAATGACGGTCAATTGTGAGCGACAAGTAAAAGTGTTTCATTCAATTAAATAAGAGCACATTTTGTTTATAACATTTTGATGATGCCAATTCTGGAATGTTCAACATGACTCGAATTATGAAAGTGTTGAAAGTTAATAAAGATCTAACTGGAAATTGACAAATGTATGAAGAAACGAAGGAGAACTGATCTTACCCAAGCAGCAATAGATGTGATTCCCGATCTAAGTTTCGGATAACTCTATTAGAAATCTGCGTAACTCTAAAAGGGGTAAACAGACTAGAAAAGATACTGGTAAATTTGACACTCGCAAACCGAACAGTTTATGCATTTTAATCGGCTATTGTACATTTGTTAGCAGACACCATCAAAGTTTAAAGAGTTCTATACTTGAGTTATTCTTATAATGAGGCAACATTTATGCTGTTCACAGAAAGGCCTGGCCCGCCCAGGCATGCCCGCATGCTTGAGGCGCCCAAATTGCCAGCCAGATGGGTAGCTGTCAGAAGAGCTCAGTTGACAGTGTGTTAAGAGTGCTTGGGATGGATCGCACGTAATGCCGATTAGTAGGGCCTAACCAACAAATTGTAACCATTCCTCTGCAGTTGCGGGGGCGTGGCAGACAATCTCTATGCTTGTAATGGTATAATAATAAAAAAAAATACACGTTAGATTCGTTGCCAACGGAAATCATGTAATCATATTTCACACTCGTAAATTTATGATTCATTGTGATTTTCCGCCGTGTTTGTACTTTCACATATACCATATATTTGATTTATGCTGCGCCATATGCGATCCGTCAAACTAATAAGCGAACAAATTTTATTTGAAAATCAGAAACAACTGCTGGAAATCCAAATCAAAATAGATGAATCCAATGCCCGAAACCCATATATATATATTGAAATGGAAACAAATCGGAAGCCGAAAGTCGTAAAAAGCTACGCACTTTCACATCAAATCCAAAAGTCGTCAGAGCGTTGCATGCTTCAAAGCAGGCGCAAGACGAAGAAGAAGAAGACCCAAGAACGCTGTCAAATGTGGCAAGTAGCAGAGGCGAGCAAAAAGAAAATCGAATAAAAATGTATTTTCAATAGTAAATCGGCTCAATATGACTGCGGGCCATACGAAAGGGCTACGGACAACGCGTGTACGGCGTATGTATATACATGTGTGTGTGCGTGTGTGTGTGCTGCTGGGCAAGGTGGGGAAGCGGGGGCAAATGTGTGCCAGTATGTCAAACCAAGCAGCCCAACCCCATGTCGTCGTCGTCCGCGTCGTCGTCTGCTTGGTTGTTGCCCCTAAGTGAACTATTAGCTCTGTTGATTTTATATTTTCCAATTTGTTGTACTTTCCCCAGCAACAGCTGTTCGCAGCGAGGGTAAACCCGGCCGGAGTTGGGGGCTGGGCTAAGACCCTCAGCGGGGGCGCCAAAAAATGCGCTGTCATTTCGCTCGACATTTTGTCAACATTTATTGTGCCTCTTTTTTTTTTTGTTAGCCACCCTCCCGCAATTTGTTGTGTTTGATTTAAAGGATTTGCATGCCAAATTTGACTTTATTTGTTTTCGCTTTTGTTTTAAAGACACACACACACGCACACACACCCGCACACACGCACATCAACAAGTCTGACACTTGGCACATGTTTGGCTGACTGTTTTGCATGCTAACAATTTAAGTGCCTCCATTCAAGGTGGAAATATTTTCCAAAGAGCTTTGCATAAATAAAACGGCCTTAAGCCGGCCAATAGCCGGCAGTGGAGCGAGTGCAGCGAAACAAGTTGTGCTCCCAATCGGAGCATTAACCCGCATATGGCATATGCTATACAGCATATGGAGAGCGACCCGGGCCCAGGCCCAGGCCCAGGTCCAACTGTTGCACGCCAAGTCGCGGGCCGCAGCATAAGATCTACATGTTTGTCAATCTGAATAACGATTAAAGCCAAAAGGTAACTTGATATCGTCACAAATTTGTAGCTCTTAGGCCTACATAAAGGTAGAGCATGATAACGAACATGTAAATAAATAATTAAAGACATGTTATACAGCACACATAAACATAAATAATAAATGTAGAAGCTGGCATTAAGTCCCAAAAGCTGATCTCATAGCGCTCAAGGTGCATATGTATGTACATATATTTCGAAGCCGAAAGCAATTTTAAGCAGAAGCATAAAAATTAATATTGTAAATAGATACTGTGAATCATCATTCGGTTGCAAGAATTGATTACGTGCATATTTTGAAAATTAGCGAACTTGCATTTACATGGCCAACAAAGAATTCAACATTGAAATATTAAACGGAATCGACAAATTGCGTAAAAATAATTTCTGATTCGAGGTCTATTGTTTTTTGGTTCCACGTTTTTATTTATTTATTACAATTCTCAGGAAATTTCGCTGTTTCTTGGAATATAGACCAATTTATCTATAGAAAGATATTTAGTTCCACTTTCATTATATTCGAAGAAAAAGTAATACAAAACTCATTGAACATATGCAATTTTGAATTTTTCTAATTTAATACGTTGGCATCATTTTGCAATGCCGCCTTAGCATTGTGTATAATTATGCAGCGCAGTGTAGGCAAAGACTTCATTCAAATAATCGAACTTTAGAGTTCTTTTATTTGCTTCGAAGTCGCCTTTGCCATTAGATATTATTAACATATTCGCCACGTTTATTAACTGGGTTAATTCCTTTCGAAATGGCGCCCTGAATTCACTTTCAGCAGCAGCTGCAGCATAAAAACTAAATAAGACTTCAGTTTATCCAGCAGAGGGAATGACATAGAAACTGCTGCCGCGCAAATAGCGCAACAAAATCAAGTTATAAACATCAGCCAAAAATGGCACACAAAGCGATTCCGCTAGACGGTTGCCAGGCTGGATAGCCGGACAATCCACAGACCAGTCGGGAGAGTTGTCTGTGTTTGTGTGTGTCTTGGTAATTAGCCATCAGCAGCTCGCAGCCCGCAGCCGCAGCTCCTCGCGCAGCAGCAGCAGTCACATCGGCTGCCAAATATATATATGTGTGGGAGGGAGGGGGCAATTATGCCCAGTTCTCAGTTGCCCTTTCCTAGACGCAACAGCTGCCAGCAGCGGCATGGAAGCCGTCGCCAGCTGCCAAACGTATTGCCAGCCTGTTGCCAGCAGCGATTTAAATAATCTTTAAGCGTCGAGTGCTACTCATATTGCACTTAGAGCTGTGGGCCACGTCCAGTGGCAGCCATGTGCAACACGTTGTCGCAACGAATGTGGAGGCAACACGCAGCTAAAGAAGTTCAATCGGAATGGCATTAATATAGGCATGGGGATGAAGGCACTGCTCCCGCTGACTCTGTGCCTCGGCCTGTTCGTGTGCCTGCGGAGTCATCTCATCGATGTTGATGAATGGGGTGTGCCGAGTCATCATCATGTTCTTTATTGCTGTCATTATAATGTGTCTTGCGGATATTTATAGCCCCTTCATCTCTTTGTCTGGTTGCCAATTGCGTGTTGCCTCTTGGATTATATTTTTGGTTGTCCTTCTTTCTTTTTTTTTTGATCCCACTGATCAGGCAATTTGGTTAGCTGAACTCTCACTCTTTCTTTTAAGCGCAGAGTGCGTTGACTGGGCAGGACTCAAATTCGAACTTGAATTCAAGGTTGGCTTGGGAGCTGGCTTCCAGTTGGGCAGCATTGCGTGCTGTCTGGAAGACTGATATACACTTGAGTAGTATCCATGTTGTCTGGCAGTCAGCCAGCCGCAGCCACGCATGGCGATTTGTGACTTGAAATGGGGCAAAAGTTCATAAAATGCTCGC